TTCACATGTTTGCCTCTGAAGCTCCTCGTGACCGAAGCAAGCTGAATCTGAGCTGTCTGGCCACTGGCTTCTACCCCAAACACATCGAGATGAAGATCACACTGAACGACAGAAACCTCGAGGCCTTCAGCTCTACTGGAGTCCGACCGAATGATGACGAGAGCTTCCAGATGAGAATCAGTGTGGAGATTCACAGAGATGAAGAAGAGAGTTATGAGTGTCACGTCTCTCACAGCAGTCACACACAGACACTTATAATAAAATGGGGTAAATATAAGTATAACTTGCAGATTTATCATTTTGACCTCTTCTCCTGTATTTGTGATTGTACCTTAGTCAGATTTTCTCAAATTAAATTTGGAGATTTGTTTTGTCATTGCATGATGTTATGAATTCATAAAAACTGTAAAACGACTGTTGTTGTTGTTTTCCTACAGATGAAAAAGGCGCTAATAGCAGTGACGAATCTAGACGGCATGATTTGGCAGTAACTGCAGCTGTATTTGCGCTGATAGTTTTTAATGTGTTTCTATGGTGTATCTGCTCAGGAACGGCACACAAAGAGTTAAATGGTAAGTTCAAAATGTTTAAAACTTCTGTATTTTCACCTAAAAATTACAATTCTATCATCGTTTACTCACGCTCATGTTGTTTCAAAACTTTGCATTTTTCTACAGAACTGAATTATTCTTTTGTCCCTGCAATGAAGTCAATGGGGTGCAAAATAATATTGGACCCCATTGACTTTCATTGTGTGGACTAAATAAAAACACATTCTTCAAAATAACACATTTTCCTTTAATAAACGTTTTAATACATTTTTGAAGCTACATTTGTAATGCAGATAAACTGCTTTAAAATTCAGTGCCATAAAAGCTTATGAATTGTGAAACATAAAACGGTGAATAATCACGAAGTCAGCATGAGCTCAGCTTAATGCTAAAGGTTTCTAAAGTCTTGTATTTTATAATCTCTAGGTCAGATGAACTATAATGGCTCTAGCAGAAGAGAGAACGTCATCTCAGGGTCACCAGAACTACCGGAGCCTGTTGAACCAAACCGGTTTCAGTGGCTCCTCGGGTAAGCTTGGGCTTCGTTTGAGTAAACTCAGTTTTTTCAGGCTCAATAAAGTGGATCACCTTTTAGTGGTGTTCATCAAAATTTGATACTGGAGTTTAAGTCCGAGAAGATATTAATGCAGGGTTTTTTTTTTCTGCAGGCCGAAGATTGTGTGCTCATGTACAGCAGTGAAGCCAGAAGAGGATCTTCCGACATTCATGAGGTTCTTTCATGAAAACACATCTCAGGGTTTCAAAATTAGAATTTCGTTTCACCGCTCTGATCAGGACAAATAATTTGTAAGCTTTAGTGGTCAATATAGATGACAATTAGTTTTCTGTTTTATATGGAGCCGGTTGCACCAGTGCCTTTGAAATATTTACAAAAGCCTCCGACCAGGACCATGTATGATATTTCTGTTTGCATGCATTTACATTTTAAGAAAGAACATGTGAATAAGCGGCTCTTCAGCACAAAAGCGATCCTTACGTATGCATGCCAAATTTCAACACTAAAAACGATAGTGTTGTTCCAGGTACAGCAGGAATACCACTTTAATGGTGCAGCCAATTCAGTACAAAACTAGTTACAAACGTACCAGATCTGTTCTGTTCGATGCACTTTAAGCCATGATTCCCAACTCTGGTCCTGTTTGATCCCTGCTGCAAATTTGGAGTTGGTAAACACTGATTTAATCGTCACGAAGAGCTATCTACTGGTGAAACTCGAAAAATTAATATCATGCAAAAGTTCATTTATTTCAGTAATTCAACTTAAAAGGTGAAACTAATATAGACTCATTACATGCAAAGTGAGATATTTCAAGCCTAATGTGTTATAATTGTGATGATTATGGCTTACAGCTTATGAAAACCCTAAAAGAAAAGGTTTTCATAAGCTATAAGCCATAATCATCAAAACTATAACAAATAAAGGCTTGAAATATCTCACTTTGCATGTAATGAGTCTATATTAGTTTAACCTTTTAAGTTGAATTACTGAAATAAATGAACTTTTGCACGATATTCAAATTTTTCGAGTTTCACCTGTATCTGTCTACTTTGAGACTTAGTGTTTTTGCTCTAATTCATCTTTTGACATATGTATGAGTTAAGATGTATAAAGAGTTACATAAATTACTATATCCTTCTTTACACTGAATAATACATGTGATTCACTCGGACTGATAAATAATATTATGGATGAATGGTGTTTAAATTGCCCCTATTATGCTATTTTTAAGGTTCCTAATTTAGTTTTAGAGGTGTCCTCCTACAATAGGTTTGATGCGATACATGCAATACACAGTGATGCGAACAGTAACGATGGCGTCGGTTTTTCCGCATCATTTCCAGCACGAGTCTCATGCTTTTGAAGAGCAGTTAAGTGGATTCCCAGCTCAGAAAACAGCGTCTTCTCAACATGTCGACAACACGAACCAAACTCTTCCAGTCTCAGCTGCAACTACAGTGTTTGAGAGTCAAAGTAGACGTTGATCGCCGTCAGCCAATGAAGATCACAGGCTGGCATTATGCTAATGTGTTACACATGTAACAGGAAGTGAGACTGGAATTACTGACGACTCGTTTCATCGATTCAGAATCAACTCTTTCTTTAGGAGACGATACGTTTATTTGTCGTGCACTTTGATCTTTAAAACTTTGCAGATATTTTACATTCACAAACAGCTCTATTATTACACTCTACATGAAAGGTAATATCCCAAAAAAGCATATAGGGGCTCTTTAACATGCACCATTCATCTTTACTGAGGAAAAGTCATAGGTCAAATGAATCACCAATGCTGTATATGTAAAATTAGGGAGGTTAATGAATTATTGTTGATTGATCAGAAATTTCATTGAATAAGCTAACCCAGATATGTAATAATTTGTGTCATTTCCTGTACCGTACCGAACGCCCTGTATCCGTTCATGTTGCTAATATATGGATGTGTGTTTTGAGGTATTAACGTTAATGATTTGAATGAAAATCGGTTATTAATATTCCGGAGAATTCCTTACAGTATTTAAGTAGCAAAAACGTAACTTTTATTTAATCTTTACAGACATATTACATGTACAATATCTTCAGAAACACTGGACCTTACATTTTTAGTATAAAATATATTGAATGCGTTCATTTCATTTGCATCCAGAAGACCTCATTGTTAAAAAGTGTCAAATGTTTTTGTCTTTTATATTGCCATACACTGTTGTACTGTCTGTTTAGTGTTTATTTGTCATCTTTGTTTTGAACTATTTTCTTTGTTCACCATGAAGCTGCAACTTGTTTGCAAATATATAATTATTTTTAATACCAATAAACCACTTTAAACCTGAAACTTCTCCTTTGTCAGTGTGTTTTTACAGGTGAGGGTTGCTTTATTTTAGGAAACAGGCTTATAAAATAAGTTGTTCAATAAATGAATTAAATTACAGCAATACACTGCTTTTCTAAAACTAAACAAAAGTTAAATATTTTATTTTGATATCGCCACAGACAGTCTGTGTCTGTCTTTATTCCAAGAGCCTCAGCATCCGCGTCTCACAGGATCCTATCAAGTCTGACTTCCGTCTTATAGCTGTCCTAGATGAGTGTTTTTAACTTTGTTGGTATGACGTATTAACTCTGGTCAGCTCCCTCCTGCTTATTCTCAACTCTACCTCTTTCCCGCAGCCTCCATCTTGGTGGATGGTGGTTCCCAGGTATTTGAAGGCTATTTGTTGGAGATTTGTGTGCTTTGTGCCGTCATACTATCTCAATCTTATACTTTCTTCTCTTCCAGTAGGTTTAGTCTTGCTTCAGTCCAGCTCCTTCTAGTTTTTCCCTCCATATCTCCAGTCTCCTCTCTATCCTCATAACTTATAACAACGTCATCCGCAAACAGCATTGCCCAGGGTGTCTCCTCTATATCTTCCGTGATCACATCCATAATTATTATGAATAGCAGTGAGCTGAGTGTTGAACCTTGGTGTAGTCCAACCTCAATCTCCATCTCCTCTGTCTCTCCAACATTGGTAATAACCATAACCTGCGTTGTACATATCTTTGATGATATCAATGTATATCTCTGGGACTGTCTTAACCTGATGCAGTGTCTCTTGGTATAGTCGTATGCTTTTTCCAGGTCTATGAACACCATGTGTATAGCTTCTTGTTAAATTCTCTATATTTCTTCTGTAGCATCCTCAGGCAGAACATGGGCTCGATGGTTGATTTATATATATATTTTTTAAAATATTTTGTTAGGTGACAGGGGACACTGGCACATTAATTTCGGATGTGCCCTACACGATTTTTCATCCAAAGTTTTTGAACGATTAAAAAAAAAAGCATACAACATAAACATCCAGTTGAATCAAAATAAGGCTTTTTAATTCTACTTCCTCTTTTACTTCGAATTACAATTCTGCATCCTGCTTTCCATCTCAATTCATTGTCAGATGCTTCCTACAGGAGGCGACATTTACAATAGATGTTGAACAGACGATCAGATCCACTGGCATTAATACAACAAACCAGCAATCCGTGTCCCAAAAACACATCGTAACGTAAGTTAGCAGAGACAACGAAATTTATCAATTTTAGCTTTTTTACTTTTCATAGAGGAAAGCTGCTCTGAAGTGTTTAGTATAATTGCAGCAAACATATTTGCTATAGGCTAAATTGGTTAAAATCACTTTTCTTAAAAGCACTGTGGTCATTAGCTAGCTGTTCCATAACATTTTGTTTAAAAAAATGTATAATAATACAGTTAATTTATTTTATCATCCTATTATTATTTTATATCAAATATTAGTCCTGTCTGAATCATTTTGCGCAAGTGAAGGGAAGAGTTTCTCTTGACCAATCAGCGTTCAGAGCGGAGCTTCTACCTGAGCAGGGACATGAGCACCTGTGTGAAGATCTCTGAAGCTAGTATGTGTGTGTGTGTGTGTGTGTGTGTGTGTGAGGACACTCAGGACAGTCGTGCACCACAATAGGTTTCGGGAAAACACACAGATAATGGAGACTAGCGGTGTTGTGCTTGTCTGTGTGACCTGCCTCAGTCTGTGTACAGGAGCGCGTGGCGGTAAATATGATATTTTCGCGCGCGTTGTGGATCTGGTGTCTCCGGGCGAAGAGTTCCTCACAGAAGACGCGCTTCTCTCGGTGTTCGAGCGGCTGGAGAGCCGCGTGCACTGCTCCGGTGTGTCCTGTGGGAAGGTGAGACGGATTTCAGGAATTTTTGGGGAAATCGAGGTCCAGCTGAGAGACTCTGGTAAATGATAATTAATGGGACATAGTAGCCTACAGTAAACAAAAATAATAATATTAATGATACAAATACTGTGTTTCCCATGATCTAAGCTATAGCCTAGTTATATAGGCTACAGTATTTCTATATTAATTTTATACGTTTGGGGTGATCATAAAAATACACTAATTTTGATATTTCTCTGGTGCTTGTTTTTTCTGCAATTTTTACACAAAAGTTGGTAACGCTTTATTTTACGACCCGCAAACAACTGCGTAAGTAAACCGAAATTACGGTGTACATTTCTGTAATTATAGCGTACTTCCGTGTAGGTATAGGGGAACAATATGTTAAGTTTGGGGTAATAAAGGGGTAACAAGCAGATAGTATACAACCTGCAAATAACTTCGTAAGTAAACTGAAATTACGGTGTACGTTTCTGTAATTATAGTGTAGCCTACCTTCGTGTAGGTATAAGGTAATAAAGGGGTAACAAGCTATGCAAGCAAATTATTTATAATGTAATTATTTTAACAGGTACCTATTATGTTAATATATTCCAGGCAAAAATTGTACGTCTGTTGTATATAAAAGTTATCATCACATTTCTGGCAAAATATGTTCTTGTGCAATTTTACATTTAATTTTGGCATCTGTGTTGATTTAACATTAATTAATCTAGTAAGAAAAGCCAATAAATTCATTTTTTATCATACTGTGCTTACATACAGCCAGACACGTTTCATTTTCAACCCACAGATGTCAAAATTACCCTGTAAAATTGCACAAGAACATATTTTGCCAGAAATGTGATGATAACTTTTATATAGCCTACAACAGACGTACAATTTTTGCCTGGAATATATTAACATAATAGGTACCTGTTAGTTTTAAAATAATTACATTATAAATAATTTGCTTGTATATCTGCTTGTTACCCCTTTATTAGCCTACCCAAAACTTAACATATTGTTCCCTTATACCTACACGGAGGTAGCCTACACTATAATTACAGAAACGTACACCGTAATTTCGATTTACTTACGAAGTTATTTACAGGTTGTATATCTGCTTGTTACCCCTTTATTACCCAAAACTTAACATATTGTTCCCCTATACCTACACGGAAGTACGTTATAATTACAGAAGCGTACACCGTAATTTCGGTGTACTTACGCAGTTGTTTGCGGGTCGTAAAATAAAGTGTTACCCAAAAGTTTTCCGAATAATAAATTTAAAACGTTAAAAATAATAACTTTTTTTTTATTTTATTTTTTACTTTTTATACTAACATATCCTTTTTCCAGATTTTTTTTTTTACAGTTTCCAGACAGTTACGCCAACTAGATTTCTTTTTTTTTTGGCGAGAGAAAGAAAGAACATTGACACTGTAGCCTATGCATGACATAATGATTGATATAATCGGTGTTATAGATCTGTTTTGCACAAGAGACAAGGAAGCATCTCATATGCCAAGAACAGGTCATATTTGACCCTAAAATGAAAATAAATTTGGCTCATACTTTAGACCAGGGTCCAATTCTCACTATTAACACCGACTTTTGCCTCAAACTCCAAATTCCTAGTTATTAATAGTTAGTAAGGTAGTTGTTAAGTTTAGGTATTGGGTGAATTAAAGGGATAGTTCACTTTGAAAGAAATTTTTGGTATGTTTTAGTATGCTTACCTCAAGGGCATCCAAGATGTAGGTGTCTTTGTTTCCGCAGTAGTTTCAATTTTGATATTTTTAGGTCAAAGCGTTCTTGTCTGTCAGTCATATAATGCAGGTCTATGGTCACCACCTCAAAGAGCATGCACAGAGAAGTCCAAATTAAACATGATTTAATGACTCGTAAATGTAAGTATTGATGGCCTAAGACACGAAACGAGCGGTTTGTGTGAGAAAACGAACAGTATTTCTATCGTTTTTACCTCTTGTAACGCACAGACCGAAGCGCCCGCGCCCTCAGATCACTTGGACGTGGCTGTGGTTACAAGAGGTAAAAACGATATAAATACTGTTCGTTTTCTCACACAAACCGCTCGTTTCGTGTCTTAGGCCATCAATGTGTACTTACATTTACGAGTCATGAAATCATGTTTAATTTGGACTTCTCTGTGCATGCTCTTTGAGGTGGTGACCATAGACCTGCATTATATGACTGACAGACAAGAACGGTTTGACCTAAAAATATCAAAATTGAAACTACTGCGGAAACAAAGACACAAGACACCTACATCTTGGATGCCCTTGAGGTAAGCTAAAACATACCAAAAATTTATTTCGAAGTGAACTATCCCTTTAAGGGATGTAGAATATGGCAATGTAGAATAAGGTATTAATATGTGCTTTATAAGTACTAATAAACAGCCAATCAATATCCTAGTAATATGCATACTAATAAGACACTAGTTAATAATAAGAACTGGGCCCTAAACTAAAGTGTTACCTAAAAAAATTAAGAAAATAAGGCCTATTTAAGGATCAGATTTGTGACATCATTTTCATGACAACTAAGCACATTTTATGTAACGGATGTCAGAAATCACATGAGTATGTTTACATTTATTGAAGGCAAACTTAAACTGCATACACACACTGTAACCTTTCACACATCTCAGTGTCTCTCTGCTGTATAGTGTCTGTCTGTTGAGCATCTGCAGCAGCTGTTGAGGAACTACAGCAGATCTCAGGAGCTTCAGATGCAGGACTTCTTCACGGTGGCTCCTGCGTTGTGTCTGTTCCTGAGCGCCCCGATGGAGACCTGCAGGGCCGTACGAGAGGGACGCTGGGACACAGAGACACACCAGTTCATCCAAACCATCTCAGACCTCAACCACACCGGCCGGCCTCCTCACCAGGGCTTCCCAGAACATCAGGGTTTGGAGAAGCTGTTCGATGAGATGGAGATACACTATCAGCCCGACACACATGAGGTCAGTAACTGCAGAACAGCTTCAGGATCATTCAGTATCATAGTATACTGGTGAAACTAATATATTATATAGACTCATTACATGCAAAGTGAGATATTTCAAGCCTTTATTTGTTATAATTTTGATGATTATGGCTTATGAAAACCCTAAATTAAAAATTATAATATTGTGAAAAGGTTTTCATAAGCTGTAATCCATAATCATCAAAATGATAACAAATAAAGGCTTGAAATATCTCACTTTGCATGTAATGAGTCTATATAATATATTAGTTTCACCTTTTAAGTTGAATTACTGAAATAAATGAACTTTTGCACGATATTCTAATTTTTCGAGTTTCACCTGTATATCAAAGTTACATGGTCTTGATACACATCTATTATTTGTCTGTCCACATTTCTAGTCGTGTCTCTCTCTGAATGCCGTCCTGGACGAGAGCGGAGGTCCTCCCGTAGAGCTGGACGCTGTGTTGGGGAACGTCCTCTATCATGTCCTGCGTGGAGACTGTCTCAGAGCTCGTGATCTTCCTCAGAACGGATACTTTCTGGATTACATCTTCAGCCATTTTGGCTCTGATAACCTCACGCTTCATGGTATGACGGACTAATAATCCTGATGATGTTGCACTAACCTGGAAATGTTCATGTGGGAACATTCGGTTTTATTTAAGTAAAAAAAAATTCGGATCATTGTTATTTTAGTATCTTTAATATACTATTAAAGTTCTTAGAAAATATAAAAACATTCAACATATTTATATTTTCATTTTAGTTAAAGTTTTAGTAATTTTGCTGTGTTTTTATCATTTTTATTAGTTTAAAAAAATATGTCTATATGGTTTTTATTCTTTTATATTTCAGTTTTAGTATTTCAAGTTAAACCAGAGATATTTTAGCATCTTTGAGATACTATTATATTTATTGTTATTATTTTTGAAATAAATGTTATAAATATATATTCCATTTTCATCTTAGTTAAAATGCTAGTAATTTTGTTAGTAATTAAAATAAAAGTCAATTTAAATGAAAATGAGAAATTCTGTCTCGGCAACCAACTGAAATAAAATATAAAGCAAATTAAACATTTTATTTTATTTCAAGTAAAATGTATTTTTTATGGTTTTAGTTTCAGTTATAATAAAAGCCATATTACCATATAGCAAAGACTTATGCTAAATGAAAATGAGAAATTTTACCTTGGCTGAATTAAAAATAAATTTAAAGTTGTTTTTAAGTTAACATTTATTTTATATCAAATGACGAAAATGTTTTTTTTTGCGGTTTTAGTTTTCTTTTTCTTGCTAACTATAATAACCCTGCTCAGGTCAGGTACAAATGGCACTTTTCACTCACATTATGGCACATTATAGTTTCCTCAGATCAGTGTTTAGGTTTCTGTGTTCTACATTTATGTTTATGCATTTGGCAGACACTTTTATTCAAAGCACAATTTTTACCAGTTCATGCATTCCCTGCCGAACCCATAACCTTGGCTATAGCAAAAACATTAATATGGAACGTAAAAATGTCCTCCTGGGTGGAGTATAAGTATGTTTAAATACATATTCATGTTCTTTAACATTTCTGAAGTACTTTGATGTACAATAGTTGGTTTGAAGCTGGACGTTTGTGCTCTATTTTTAATGATGCTATTGTTACTCAGATTTTGAGGAGCTTCTGAAGACACTAAATCTGGGTGGAGGAGAAGACCATCACGATGATGTCCACCTCGAGCCTCATCAGGAGGATCACCATAATAACAGCAGCTGGGATACAGTAAGACACAGCCGTGTTTGTGTGGGGCATCATGGGAAATCTTTGCATGCTGTAGGACTGAGCAAGTTCTGTAACATGACATATCAACATGAATAATTGATGTTTAGCTCTCTTGATTGATGTTGTGACATAATGTGTAATCTGAGACCGTGCAATCTGTCCGTAATGATAATCATTGAAATTGATTACAAGTCGTTACAAGTGCTAATTTTTCACATTTTTTTGAGTGAAAACAGAAAAAACACAACATTTGAAACATCAAACAGAATGAAAACATGCATATAAAATCTATATAAATATATATATAGCCTGTCATTTGACATCCATGCAACTAATAAATCAGGGAATTGTACACACTAAACATGCATGTTTATCAGAAAAATGAAAGTAACTGAAGCCAAATTATATATGTTAATGATATGCATAAAAAATGTGCATTGTGTCTACAGATGTGTTTCAGCGCTAAAGACCTGCTGAGGATCTACCAGCTGAACTCTTCATTGCTGACCAGAGATCAGTTCACACAGCTCAGTCCTGCTCTGATCCAGCAGATCCTCAGCGGAGGCTGTTCTGAGATCAGTGTCACACACGTGACCGCTGATTCTCTGAGCACAGCCGAGAGTGAGTGACAGATCAGCACTGAACAGTTAGTCTGAGCTGCATAGCATCAGGCTTTTGACTATTGATATAAACTCCAGAAACATATTCTAAACAATATGTAGTAACAAACCTTAGTTCTCAAGCTTCCTTCAAATGTCTGTGCATTCATACTGTAGTCTCACTATTCAGGCAGCTGCTATAAACGCGTCATTTTAACTAACTTTAACTACAGCATTGAGATTCTCTTTAAATTGTTTGTCTGCCATGAAGGCGAATGTTATGAACTGCATTATGAATTATGTCAAAAATTATGTAAGCCAATTTGATTGGGAGTGACAAACATCAATATAGTTGACCATATGTTTGACATTTAAATGATTGCAAATTAACAAAAAAATTACAGAAATTAAATTAAGATTCATTATTTAATCAACATCTGAAAACAGAAAATCTAGGTTTTTAATTCAATTGACTTTGAAATTGAACTAAGACTTCTGTGCAAGGCTATAATAACTGGTCAATGCCATGCTATTTGAAAATAGCCAAATATTAATCTGTCTGTATGATATTTATTTTGGTGTCACTACTATGTACATATTTTTAATTTGACAAAATAATTTTTATTTACGCATTAAATTGATCAAAAACAACAGTGAAGACATTTATGTTAGAAAAGATATCAAATTTAAATAAATCCTAAAAAATATGAAGCAGCAAAACTGTTTTCAACATTGATAATAATCATAAATGTTTCTCGAGCAGCGAATCATCATATTAGAATGATTTCTGAAGGATCATGTGACACTGAAGACTGGAGTAATGATGCTGAAAATTCAGAGGAATAAATCACATTTTACAACATATTCTAATAGAAAAAAGCTATTTTAAATTGTAATAATATTTCACTGTTTTTACTGCTTCTAATAAAAAAATGCAGCCTTGGTGAGCAGAAGAGACTTCTTTCAAATACATTTTTTAAAATCTCTCTGACCCCAAACTTTTGAGTGTAATATCTAATGGCAACAATTTAAATGTGAAAAATGTATAGTTAAGTTTGTCAGAAAGTAAAGATTGTTTGTTATACAGTATGTTATGAATGTTTAGATGATCACTTACATTCAGTTTCTGTATCAGAAACATGACACATGACCGCTTGCTTTTCTGGTTCTACTAAAATATTAAGTTATTGTTGGCATCGTTCTCTTGACAAGAACAAGGACAACCAGAATCATTCCTGAATGCTGTGACTTATTATTTTAGTGACCATCTCTTCCTGGAGAAGAACAATCCCTCCACTGTCTGAATGTTTACAAAAAGCAGTCTGAAGACGGCACACCTGTGAATGATCTCTTTATATGATCCCTCAATGAGCGCTTTGTGTCCAGGATATGGATATGCCACCCTCGCCAACATCGTCATCTGCCTGATGGCCATGTTTGGGATCGTGGTGCTGCTGTTCTCCAGGTGTACGCAGGTGTTCCAGATGTGCATCCAGTTCTGCATCAGCCTGGCTGTGGGATCCCTCACAGGAGACGCTCTTCTGCATCTGCTTCCCTCGGTAGGCGGACTCACACGCGTCTGAATAGGATGGGGTTCGTATTGTTCTCATTGCTTTGTGCCTGTAGTTTTTAGGTCTTCATGCACATAAAGATGGACACGGTCATGAGGAGGAGAACCTCGACTACGTTTATAAACTCCTGGTGGTCCTTGGCGGCATCTATGTCTTCTATCTGATGGAAGCCGTATTCTCCATCATCACTCGACATGGTCGTCATCATGATGGAGTGAGTGACTGAGTCTGCAGAAGAAAAGGCTCTATATAGAAGCTTAAAGGGTTCTTTCAGGCGCTTCATAGAATCTTTTAGGGGTTCCAATCATTTTGATGATTTTTAGTTTAATTAATTTAATTAATTAAACCGCACATTAACATACTTCATCACTAGAAAAAATGAAATGACCCATTAAACATGAAAGTATTATGCAATTCCAGGTGAAAAAGACGTACTATTAAATGTATTAAAAATGTACTTCAGTATGTATTTAGTACAATACAAATATACTTAAATGCATTTAACAGTACATCTTTTTCACATTTCTCCTTTTATAGAACCTTCTTGGCATAAAGGGTTCTTTAAAGTTGAGTCTCAAACCCTAGGATTCAGTTAAAATGTCTTAAAACCCTTAAAACGAGATAAATTTAGCATGACATTCAGAAGCAACATAGCAAAAGATATTAAGACTTTTTGATAAACGCACATACCATTAAAAAGAATAAAAGAAAGAATTAAAAAAAGAAGATATTAATATTTTATTTCAGCATTAAATTGACCAAAAGTAACAGTAAATACATTTATAATGTTACAAAGATTTTAAATAAACGCTGTTCTTTTGAACTTTTAATATCAAAGAATCCTGAAAATATGCATCACGGGTTCCACACAATATAAAGCAGAACACCTTTTTTAAAATTAATAGAAAACACTTATTTATATTGTAATAATATTTCACTGTTTTTACTGTATTTTGTAATTAAATAAATGCAGCCTTGGTGAGCAGAAGAAACTTTCAAAAACATTAAGAAATCCAACCGACCGCTAACTTGTGAATGGTGGCATAAATGTGTTTTGATTTTTACTGCACTGGTGCTTTTTCACTTGTTTGCAGCTTGTTTATTCTTTAAACAACAGGAAAAAAAATAGTCCACACCACAACTATAACAATAACGGCACAGAGGAACGATATCATCGGAATCACTTTCACAAAGATTTTTTGATGAGCGATATGAATGCGAAATGGCATTTTAAGCTTGACTAATAAAAATTGGTGTAGAGCAGACTGGTCCCACTGAAAAGTTTTATAATTATGTTATTAAGAAGGCTCAGGTCATTCTTTGTACTGATGACCACCCATTATGAACTGAGTTTCAGGCCGTTGTTTTAGAGAACAAAAAATTTAAGATTAATTTATGTCTGTGGCTATTAAGATACTAAACTGCCCTGGCCCTAACGAGAGTTTACTTAGCACACAAAAATAATCAATTTATTAAGAATAGAGCCTGGTATTTTTATGTATGTATCCTGTATAATTTTTTTTATTTAGGAACTTTTGTATGTAATAGTTTATCTAATATGTATTACATGGATGTGGTTAGTGTTTCTGGCACTTTGTTGCAGTCTTCGATTCCCTAAGTGAGACAATAAAGCGAGTCTGATAAAAATGTGTGCAAGTTTATAAATAATAAATAAAAGAGTGCCTAAGACTGAGTCTTGGGGAACGCCAGCGGTAAATTGCAATGGATAAAAACATTGACAGCCAATCAGAATCCATCGTGCTTTAAAAAGCTTGAGCATTTAAAGAGACAGACGACAAAACTGCAGCTTACTGTAATAAACAGAATGATATCGTCCGCTGGTGTGGATGTTGTTACAGTTATCATTATATTTATCTTTTAATTGTATTTTTTTGCTGTGTGCACTGGTATGACTGGATAACATTAGTAAGGTGGCCGCCACATGAGCTGACTTGCCTTAAAGGGTCTCTGTTGTCCTGTTGCAGGAGTCCGACCCTCATCACTGCGATCACAGTAAAGTTCTGCAGATGTTCCAGAGCAGCAGACGCAACAACAGCTCCACCTCACAGGACGAGCTGGTGAGACCGTGTTTCTGTGCGAACGTGGACCAAATAAACAAGCTATCATGTTACAAATCACTACACAGACACTACAGACAATACTAGTTTTCCCTGAGGAGGTCAGGTGTCATCATATTACACAAACCCAGACAGTAATTGTAAAAAAACAGGAGGTCATTTTAGGATTTACAGATTTTATTATCATCTGAATCAGGAATGTTGGTGTTCATTGGTGGCGTTTTTGATTGTTTGTTTGATTAATGAATGGATATTTAACTAATTTTCTAGATTAGCTTTAGTCAGTTTTAGACAGGAAAATTTGGGCATCAGAGGTGGATTGTTTTTATTTATATATATATATATATACAATGTCTCTAAAAATTAGACAAAATCCTGTCTCGACATTCAGGAACATCTGTGATTTGGGCGTATAATTTTTTTTCCATAACATGTCTGCTTTATTTTGAGCATCAAATACAGTGTATCAGTGCAGAAACATCACAGTCTTCCTCTGTAATCATCAGTTAATACTGTGAGTTCTCATTGATTTCAGGTGAACGAGCAAAACAATGAGAAGTCCTTCCTGGAGCCGTTCAGCAGCGCACGAGGTCAGTTCATGCCTAACACTCAGTTAATAATCAACGCTCGCTTATTAAACACAACTAGGCTGTAAATAATTACACCACAATTAGAGTTAATCACATGTTTGTGCATTAAGGGAGTAAAATGACCTGTTATTAAAGTGACCTTTACCAGCACCATCCTATGAGGTCACTTGTAAAAAAGGTTCTGCTATAAACTTTTCATGAACATTTCTATTTTCTACACCTCATTTCAAAAGCTTAGATTCAGTACGATTTTTTTCTCTTCTGCTCAACAAACGGTGCATTTACTTGACCAAAAATACAGTAAAAAATACACATTTTTTCTATTTGAATATATTTAAAAATGTAATTTATTCCTGTGTTTATTCCAAAAGTGACTGAATCTTTTGTAACATTATAAATGTCTTTACTATTTCAAATAAATGATGTTCTCTTTTGAACTTTCTATTCATCAAAGAATCCTGAAAAAAAATGTACCACGGTTTTCACAGAAATATGAAGCTGCAACACAACTGTTTTCAACATTGATAATAATCATAAATGTTTCTATTAGAGTGATTTCTGAAGGATCATGTGACACTGAAGACTGGAGTAATGATGCTGAAAATTCAGCTTTGATCACATCTTACAATATATTCACATAGAAAACAGTTATTTTAAACTGTAATAATATTTCACAATTTTACACTTTTTACTGTATTTTTGATCAAATAAATGCAGCCTTGGCGAGCAGAAGAGACTTTCATAACATGATAAACCCGTAGCGATGTGACCCGTAGTGAGCCTCTGTCTCGTGTCCCTCAGAGAAGCGTCTGCTGCCGTTTATGATCACCATTGGTGACGGCATCCATAACTTCACGGACGGTCTGGCCATGGGCGCTGCGTTCTCCGTGTCGTGGCGCTCGGGACTGGCGACGTCACTGGCCGTCCTGTGCCACGAGCTTCCACACGAGTTAGGTGAGATCTCAGGAGGTTCATTTGAGAAGATAAACTAATCTAGCTACTGAAAATGCATTGAAACCAACTAGAAAAAGTAAGTTTGTCAAGACAGACTATGAATGTTGTTTGAAGGTTACAGAAACATGTAGTTTGAATACTAAGGCTTTCTATGTACTCTTGAAATAACTCTTGTACACAATGTACAGTAACATTACTGTAAAGCGCAGTCAAACAGGTTTTTCTGTTTTCCTGCACACACGTTTCCTTTCAGGAACATAAAATGAGATTTCTCATAACTTATAGTCATGTTCATAGAGTCTTTATGCAGCAAAAAATCATTTCAACCGGTTTAATGTTAAATCCGCATTAGTAGATTTTGTGTGAAACTCTGTCACATTAAAATCATAAGATAACAAAAGTATTATATTTTGCATAAAGTAAATGAAGCCTGCCTTTATTTATAATTACATTTAAATAGTGAATTTTTAAAAGTTATTAAATATAAATAATATAAATAAAATATATAACATATATATACACACACACATTAATTTGAATACATATTAAATATAATAATATAAATAAAATATGTATTACCAAAAAAAATTCACACACATTTTTAAATTAATTTGTTTCAATATTTCAATATTACTTTATATTATATTATTTTTTTAACTATTAATTTCTTTTTACATTTTCAGTTTTCATATATATATATATATTTTTTTTTCATTTTTTTGATGCAAAGTGTATATATACACGCACACATTTTTAAATTAATTTATTTGTTTCAATATTTAAATATTCCTTTATATTATATTAGTATTATATTATGTTTATAACTATTACATTTTTTTTTACATTTTCAGTTTTCATATATATATTAATTTTTATGATGCAAAATATAGTTGTATGTTTATGTGTGTGTTTGATCTGTGCTGTTGTGTGCAGGTGATTTTGCGATCCTGCTTCACTGCGGTCTGTCTGTGAAGCGCGCTCTCCTGCTGAACGTGTGCAGCGCTCTCTCCTCCTTCATCGGCCTGTACATCGCTCTGTCCATCTCCACACACACACTCGCTCAGGAGTGGATCTCTGCCGTCACCGCCGGGCTCTTCCTGTACATCGCCCTCGCAGACATGGTGCGTTTGCTGCTTTCAGAGCGCAATAACTGAGCAAAATAGCCAACATATATTGTGTAAAATGAAAATGACGTGCTATGTGGGCTTATGCTAAAAGCAGAAATATCAGATTCAATTCTGAAGAGTCGATGTTTTTTGAGGGGAAAAATCAATATATTGTAGTTTCCTGCATTTCTCAAGTAAAACAAACATCTAAAATATGTGTGTCATCAGATCATCATAAAAACCAGGCTTAATTTCTCTGTTTTATTCTCGTCCAGCTTCCCTCCATGCTTCATGTGGACAGTAAATGGCCGTGGCTGGTTTTTCTCCTGCAGAATCTGGGTCTGATGACCGGATGGGGGATCTTATTACTCCTGTCTTTATATGAAGATCAGATTGGAATCTAAAATATGAGGCCGCTTTGTACTAGTGTATTATCATATTCCCTTCCTCGAGCATGTTTGTGTGATCGTCACTTAAAAGAATGGAAATTTGTGCCATTTATAGTGCGGCCATGTTTTAATATGGGATATTATTCATTTTAAAACCTATTATTTTTTAATAATATTATTGTATTTTTAGAACACCTTTTACAATATCTTCAGAAAATGTAAGTCTAATATAAGTTTAACGTTTGAAACGGATAAATCAGCTTTAAATCATCAGCACTTTAGATATAACATTCTATGTGTTGTTTCTATGAAGATGTAACTGGATTGAAAATATTGCACTTGATATATGAAAGTGATTTTACATCATGAAATTCTGGTGATATATGAAGTATGAACTGTGTAGCCATAAACTCTGTGAATAAATGAACTAAGGGTGACCTGTAGATCCTGTGCAAGTCTGAGAATATTCACTCATAGTCTCTGTGTGCTTTCATAAATGTTGTGTAAAGCCTGTCTTCAGCATTATGGTGTCATGTACTGTATGTCAGTGTGTTATTAGTCATGTTAGAGACTGCTGTGGTGAAGCCACTTCAAGCCAGTGATTTGATCCGAGTGTGAAAGCTGAAATGCTGAGGTTTCGTTGAGACCTGCGTGACTCAGAAGTGTTCAGTAGACAATGAAGGGAAATGACAGGTGTCTCTGATATATAACACACACACACCCAATTTAAATACAGTGCAGTGACTGCAAATCTTAAACATTTAAAATGAATGCCACTTAAAAAATGAGACATTACTCATAGAAAAGCTTTCTGTACCAGGGTTGGAAATTAACCAAGGTGTGAGACAAAAATACCCTAATCTAACATTGACGTTGTAATAAAATAAAATAAATGAACTTAGATCAGTGTTTGACTCTTTGAAATGATTTTCAGTGGATTTTTTTCCTAGTCATAAAACTTCGGCACTGATCCATTTCTTTGAGTAAATAACAGAATGAAATGTTTCTATGAAGTGTAAAGCATTTAAGAGTATGTTCAGAAACAGGTGAGTTTGAATCAGGGGCGGAGTGGGACCCAAAAATCTACCGGGACATTTCGTAGACCTCCGGCCCTCGTCGCCGGCAGGGCCGGATTAAGAGTTCAGAGGCCCCTGGGCACAATGTCTTGTAGGCCCCCTTTAGGCAGGCCAAATGTATATTTTGTCCAAGGACATTTTAATTTGGCATTTACAGTTTTACTGACTTAAAAGGAACTTTGTTGTACTATGCTGGAGTTAAGTTTATAAATGGTTGTTCTTTCACATAGGATTTTGTAAACTATGTTGGGTGGACCTCTGTGCCTCTAGGGGGGTTCGGGGAAATGTTGTACATTTTAAGGTTAAAAGCATCAATCTGGTGCACTCTGAGAGCTCAAAATTAAGAGCTTCAACCCATGAACTGCTCATTGAACAAAGAAAAAGCATTGATTTGAACCAGGACATTGAAGAGGGCTCAAACATCTTTTTAGTTATGAGAGTCTCAGTCTACATTACATTATCACTGGTGTTTTAGGGTGCCAAACAATTATTATAATTATGTAATAATGATTTATATAATTATTCATATGATGTAAAATCCATATAGCCTATAAATGTACTGTAGAAATGAAAATGAATATTTCAAAAGTATATTTTAGCCTACATTACACTATAGTATAGGACAATTAAAATACTTTTGTCCTAATTTCTTCACTTGCAAGAAATAAACCCTTGAGCTTTTATTTTGGAGAAAACACCAGATCACCATGCTGATCGCGTGAGCAAAGAGCGCACTTTTCTTTCAATTTTTTATTGGACAACTTTACTCCCACCCAACATATCACACACACATATCACACACACATAACACACACACACACACACACATCCCCCCCCCCCCCCACACACACACACACATCCCCATTACCTACATACTAATCTGTGCAGTGATTGGAAAATGTTTGCATGGGTATAAACTGGTGCCTAATGTTTATAGTTCAGTTTATCAAGCTGAAGAATTGTTCGTTTAAGAGATGTTTGAACTTTCAAAATATGTCATGATGTTTTCAGAATTTGATGCAGAGATTAGTTCGATAGTTTGATTTCAGTTCAGAGGTGTAAAACTACACATTTGTTACAATCTTACTCAATTAAAAGTTTAACCAGTGTTTGTTTAGTGAAAGTAAGTGAATAAAAATAAATAGGATGAATTCAGGTTGATTGGGACACATTTCCCCAATTCATCTCAATGGCAAAAAGTGTCTCAATCACCACTAAATAAATAAGTGAATATCAAGCGACACTCATTAAAGTATTAAATAAATATTTATATTTTTCACTTCTTTATAAACAGATCGATGATATATAGAATCAGAGAATTTCCTATTAAAGTAAATTTTGACATGTTACGTTGGTAATGGGACTATGATGTTTTCTTCTTTTCCTTTTTTTGTTGTTGTTGTTGTTATTACCATGATTATAATATCATGGTGTTTTTAGGTATACTTTGAAGATCCATAATGTTGTGTATGAATATGGTAATCATACAATTATACATATATTGAGGTATTACCGTCTGGTTTAATACAGTATTATCACAGATCATTTTGAAATTGAAATGGTTGAAACAGCTTTGATATAATTTATCATGTTATCATAGTTTGGTTTATTTTGATGTAAAAAAAAAAATTTCAGACACTTTTACTTTGTCAGGTTGAGATGGGAGAAAACAATGGCATGAATAATTATGAAAAGTTAAAAATAAATTTGTTAAACAAGCATTATAATTTGCAATTATAGCTAGAAATGATAGATTTTAACAATGAAAATTAAATGATGAAAAAATAGCAAAACAAGATTTTCAATTATATAAATAATATTCATTGTGTATTTCAAAATTAGGGCTGTAATTTCATTGATTGTGTTTGACAGGTGTGATGATCAGTGGAGTTGAGTTTTTACCTCCATCATTATTGCACGGGCTAAAAAATGGATAGAGTTTCCCAGTGAAAGACTGATCAGTGAAAGAGTAGAGATGAGAGCTGGACTCCACATCATAAAAGGAGACCAGACCCTCCTCATAATCCACAAACACACCGACCCGCTGCGGCTTCACTCTCACACACAGAGAGACAGGGGGACCAGCACAGGCTTTATATTCATTCCCATTCCTCAGCCACACAGTCCAGTATCCATTACTGGGACTCAGTGGGATCATTCCCTTCCTGTCAATGGATTCTCTGGCCACTCCTAAATCCCATTTAGTCTTTCCCTTCACCTGCACCTCAAAATAAAATCTCCCTGAGGAGAATCCCTCCTTTCCCAGGACAGAGGGACATGTATCAAATCTCTGTGGATTGTCTGGGAGTTTCTGTTTAATGTCTCCATCTCTCACTTGTTTTCCATCATCAGACAGGATGAGATATGGATTAGCTGTATCAGGATCCAGAGTCACATCCACTGAGAAAACAGACAATATGAAACACAACTTAATACAGACTTTTAGTGATGATGTCTGTAATATGTAATGAGTGTGTAATCATACTGTGTGTCAGTGATGAAGCTGTGAGTATGTGAATGTAATCTAGTGTAGGTCAGACACACACTGTACCTGCATACTGCTGTATCCTCTTCAGTTCTGTAGAGACTAATGACAATAACACATCAGCAGATCTTTCACATGTTTATGTGTGCAATTATAAAACTTAAAGATTTAAGAATATATTTAAAGAATTGTGTACAACATCATGTTTTATCTGATCAATGTCTCTCTGCTGATATTTAGAGAGTCCCTGAACTCCTATTGTGTTTGAGCTCTAAATATTCCTCCTTTTAGATCATCTTTGGGACTGTTTTGTGAAACATTTTATGACATTTTTTAATTCAGATATTTTTATGCCTAATGTTATTAGTCTCAGTTTTGGAGTGGATTAATGTTGTGGTTATTCAGCAAAGACAAGTTGAAAACACTAAAAAAAAAATCTTTGAGAAAATTAAAATAAATCCCAGCACTGCAAAGCTGTTTGAATCTATCGATTAGATTTTCTTCTGCTAAACTGATTTTATCTGACACATAATCACAACATTTAGAGAAACAGCTGAAAAGACCAACAGAAAATGGCAGAAAATGAATGTTTCTTTCTGTTGTTTCTCATGTAAAAGTGTTCACTGATGCACTAAAGCCTCGAGGTTCTGGTTACAGTGATGAAGCTTCTAGTACAAGATGAATTTACTGCATGTTTTCTGAGATTAGAGATGAATATGACCTGCTCTCTTCAAGAAGAACTGTGATCACACAAACACATGATCACACACTTCTCTTATTTCAGCTTGACCAGACTCATTCTATATTACTGATATTAAAAGATGATAAATATATGTATCTGTAGTGTGTTTGATATTGCTGTACCAGTGTGTGTGAGTTTCTCCAGTAGAGCGTCCTGCAGTTTAGTCAGAGCTCTCCTCAGAGTCTCCTGACTCTCATCAGTCTTCACACTGATCTCAGACCAGTTCCTGGTGTTTCTAGAGCTGCACAGGGACGAGTAAATCTACAGCAGGAGAGAGGAGAAACCCTTCAGCATGGGGAGTGTTCTGGTGTCATACACTGCATTATCATTGATCAGAGAGATGTTGACTGACCTGTAGGAGGTGGAGGTGATCTTCAGTGTGTGAGAGCTGCTCCAGCTCAGTGTTTCTCATCTTTAGCTCAGTGATCTCCTGCTCCAGCTCTTCAATGAGCTCTTCCTCCTGTTTCTCTGCTGCTTTCTGCTGCTCCTCCATCATCTCCAGCAGTTCAGTCTGACATCTCTCAATGGAGCGGATGAGATCAGTGAAGAGCTCCACACGGGCTGCTTTCTCCTTCTCTGTGTTTCTCTGATCAACCAGGACAATCAACACATTATTAGTGGTGTTTGTTAAGAGAAGAATCAGTGTTATTATTTCTCATACTTCAGTGTTTTTAGGCAGTTTCAAAACCCCTCATTCTACACCGTTTGCACTGAATGATTCCTCAAATCATGTGTGTTGTTGAGGAGAGATGTGTTATTACTTTATTACTTTACTAATGGCGCTTTTCCACTGCATGCCATGGTACGGTACGGTTCGCTTTAAATGGTACCACCTCTGTTGAGGATCCAAGCGTACCGTACCGATACTAAAATGTGACGTGAACACACTGCAGATCACTGATTGGTCAGACAGTCTATGCATCAAACCCGCTAGATTTAAATAGCCAGTAACA